TGAGTTAACAGGATAGTAGACTACTGCCTGGCAGTATTTGCTGATAACAGTGGTTTGGTTTATTGAAACTGTCTGTGACGTATTGATAAGTTAATAAATTCGAAATGAAATCGCTATAGTTTCAATAAATTAGTGACCAAGAAATTAATGTTCATAGTCTAGCTAAGATTTTTATAAAAATAAATTTTTGCATTTAATTTAAGAACGAATTAACGAATTTTGAGGAAAAGAGATTCAAAATCAGGGCCGTAGTTAGAACCCATACAAGTACAGGTTCTCAAAATTTGGAACAATTTCTAGTTTAAATGGCCCTCGCAATAATCCCAAAACACGCATAGAATGCCCAAGTGAAGAGTTAAGCGCGTTGCTTTCACATCTCTGCTAGCGCGGATAGATTTCCATGACAACGGTGACGTTATCCGCAAATTTGCAGGCCTAACGCTCTCCACCCGTGCACCCGTGCCCGAATAGAGAGAGATCGTAGTGGACCGACTAATCTTATGTACCTGCATGCTCTTTGTACATATTAACTAGAAATATTCATATTATTCTACACATTCCCTGGCGCATATTTTTGTAGATATTCGAGGGCGTACTGTATCTAATTCTATGTTTAGTTTTCATGGATTTTTGCAACTGTTAATTTTTAAAAGTACAAGCCGTCATTTATGTGTTAGACTGTATAAAAATAAACGCGCCGTTTCCCGTTAGAAAATCAAATTCCTAATTGAATTGTTAAGTAACCAAGAAATTAATATTCAACGTTAAGTAAGATTCTGTACCAACGCCTAATTTTCGATTACTCATAATATTTTTCTTTTCGTATTCGATAACAGTATCAAAATTTGTACGTACGGACTGAATTCTACTTAAACGTAATATTGATGTCTCAATCTTTTTCTGAAATAAGTTATAAGAAAAATTGAGTAAAGGGAAAGTCGTTTATGAAGTATATACATTGCTATACCTAATTTCCTGGTCGGGGTTTTTTTAATTCCTCATGTATTCACGCTAGCTAATGGTATCGAATATCGATTAAAAATGCTGTCTTTTATTGGAATGTTGCCATAAATTGATGCACAGGAGCGGTGGGTGCGACAACTTTATCAGGTATCAAACGACACCAACGCTTTTACTTTTATTTTATTTAGTCAGTAACAAAAATATAGCGCGTTTGCCGCGTAGATGCAGAAAACGATAAAAGCCCTTCAACCTAATCCAATTAAAAAGGGAAACTGTTTGAAGGGATGCTTACAATCATTTAGGGTAATAACCGAATTTCTCAGTTGGTCTCTCAATAGCATCATAAATAAACTTTGATAAATATCTTGACTCACCACAGTGGATTTCCCAAGACTCCTTTGGAAAATGCAGCACAACAATTACTCAAACGTTCTTAAAACACCATCACCTGAAAAAAAATATACATTTAGAAATTATGACTGATATCTGTATTGCAGAAGTAATTTTGTTGTTTTATAGTTGAGCTTAGAGGTTTTAGTAAAAGTTAACATCTTATGATAGTTTATAATATACAAAACAATTAATTAACTGATTGATATAAATTTATCCAACCACAGCCCAAACCCCTGGGTCTAGAGACTTGAATTTTGGAAATACCTTTCCTAAACAACGTAGGCGAGCACTAAGAAAGGTTTTTTTTACTAATTGAGCCCCTAAGGAGATTCAGATTTTGATGCATCAATCAAGGCACATTCCAAACCCGTAGGTCAGGAAGCTTGAAATTTTGCACACTGTTGAATAAAGCGGGGGTTAAAAATTTAAAACGTTATAAATGTTTGGACAGACTACAGTTAGGTACTTAGAAATATGTTCATTACTAGTAAAAGAGGTTGACAGTACTAATAAGTAGTATAATAAGTTTTCTGACGAAAATATTATTTAAAGATTATCAGATAGGAACTACCTATAATTGTAAACGATTGTTTTTTTGGAATATTGAAGTATGTTATATACATACTATGGATTACTTCAGTAGGCGCTATACCTTTTTCTTTAGAAATACAGTTCTATAGTAGGGACGTTAAAAATTGGCATAGTCCGTAATAAAACTGTCGCATTTACACTTACTATTACTCACGACAGACGTTATGGGGAATATCGTAAACATAGCAAAGAGATGCCAGGTAAGAATTGCAGCGGACACCAATAAAGAAAAAGGAATAACATTATAACAATTGATGTGTAACAGAAGGAGATGCAGACAAGCATCGGACTTTAAAGATAGTTTGACATTCTCAGAAATTTAGGAAAATAGGGACGCTTGTTTAAAGATATAATTCCAACGAGGTAATTATAGAGCCGACCCTGATCTTACCTCAGCAACCTTAGCAACCCCTAACCGCTGCACCGCTTACTATTATTCAGTTATCTCTTTTCACTTTGTCTGTACTACTCATTAAGCATTTCCTAACTTAAAGAGGGCGTGTTCAAAACGCAACAAATGACTACAGTCCCAAGTGGAGACGAGAAAGAAGATACATCAATTTTCCCAGATAATTTATTGCGGGTTTTGATCGTTCCAACTATAATCGAAAGTATCCATTATTTTTAGTAGGTATACACACAGTTTTGTCCTAAAAATGATATCTTATCGGATGTACGTTGTCATGCGAATTATTATTCTTTTACCGTTTTTCAAAATTAACCAAAATTAAGTTGATGCTTGTAAATGTATATAAAATGAACTCTATAATTATGTAATTTAATCTGTCGTTATATTATTATTTCGAAAATGCTGAGAACCGAGTTTATTAATTTATAGAAGTTGTAAGTATATGTTGTACAATAATTAATATAAATGAAAGCCGGGGAGTGGGTTTATGATAGGAAAAGAGCAGACAGATTAGGGGCATATCTCACGTCGTATCGTTAAATTCTACATAAAGCTGCTCGGAAAATGACAGAATTATTAAGAAGATACATAAGAATCTATTGGATCATCCAAAACATTCCTTAATGTGTATACGTTAATCAAGTTATGCTTAGTAGATATATATTAACAAGGTAACCCTATTAAATAATGTCAAATGTCCTGTTAGGATAAAACAGTGAAGCTTATCACCGCGATGTATTCAATGGGCCCTAAGAATTAAGCTTTAGTAAGCCATTATAGGTACTCTTGATAAAGCCCTATAAAGCAGAAACAATATTGTCGAGGCAATAAAAACTGTATGAAAGTTTCCTAATGTTCTTTACTTCATTTGTTCACAATTCTTAGTTGGACAATTTCGAAAAAACTAAATAGAGTTAAAAAAAAAAGTCAACAACATTAACGACAACTAAAGTAAATGAAGAAATTCACTTTTTATGTAATTAGGCATATGAATTAAACGAGATTATCTTCCTGCAAATTTTATGATAAAGAGAAGTATTATTTTCCTGCAAATGGAGTAGGCACGCATATAAAGTTACAGGTTGAATCAGAACAACCCTCAGGCTTTCCTCTAGTAAATGCATAAATAGGTACGTACATTACATTTGCTTAAGTCTGTTTTATTAAAATGAACTTTGACATTTGAATGCACTTGGTTTTACAGAGCAAAGCACTCAGTAGGGAATTCAATTTATAAATCAGTTTGAATCAGCGACGTTTCTTTCACGAAAAATGCATCCCAGAAAAAGGTAATACGGTTTTTCCATAGTCTATCTCTTTTTAGTATCTAAAGTTTGTTTTTGATAAAATAAAATTGTCCCCTAAGGTTCTATCTTGATTACAAAGCTGGTGCATTTAATAAAAATAAAATGTAAATAAAAAATTATTCTCATTATCATGATGGTTTCAGTTATTAAAAGTGTAATGATTCTTCAATTAATAAGGAGAAAAATTAGATGATTAAACTGCAGTGCCGTTAACTTCTCTTTGAACGATGTAACTTTAAGTCAAATTGTAAATCGCAAATCCAAAAATGGTATTACGAATCCTGGAAGTTCCACTATAAAGATGTCAGGCTAAAGGTCGGGACCCTACAATTTGTTCCAGTAGGGTACCCTAATCAAAAATCCTACAAATGGAGCGGTAAACCATCTGAATTATAATGTTAGTGGAATTAAATATGTTCAACTAGGTCAATTTCCATAGATGGATATCTACTTGTTGAACTGAACCACGGCGTTGTTCACCACACCTGATAGACACGTTATCAAAATCGAACAAATAAGTTCATGGAGGTCAGTCTTCTGTCCAAACTGCCAGACGTGGATCGCGATTTCGATCTTGTTGGATTTCATCAGCGTATAGCAGTTTCGACAGAACACTTACCACCATGAACTTCTTTATTCATATAAGGCAACTTAGGTTTCTCTAATTAGGACCCTGCAAAGCACCTCAATTTGCCCCATAAGACCACAAGGCTCTGTAAGGTGACTCAATCCAATCGGAGTATTTTAGACTTTACATATGGTTTTGAGCAGATTTTTCTTTTTGAGTCTTTATGACAGGGCAGCTTATGCCCGATCCGATTCATATCCTAACCTTTCTTACTCTTTACCGGGGTACTCTTAAATTCTTTTAAACAAAGCGTAACAACTCTCAAAAATATTAAATTGCATTTATTAGACTTCGGGGTATTCGGAGTATTCTCTGGGGTGTCGGAATATGAGAATTTGAGACGTTATATACGGTACTGAGATTTTGCTTTTTGAGTACTAATGACAGGACAGCTGACATACCCGATCCGTTGCGGATTCTAGTCTTTCTTACTTTCTACTTGTGTACTCTCCATGTCTTTTGAACAAAGCGTAATAACCCCCAAAGACTTTAAATTGCATTTATTAGACTTATATTACTTTATTGGGTATATGGAAAGATATCTGAAGGTATTTGTGCAAAGTTCTCTACACTGCGTCGTACTTTTCAAAAGATGATGCAGCCCTATGATAATTGCTGGTATAAGAATGTTCGGTCCTCAATAAGACATTGGTGTATATTCCTTAAACGATAAATAGTGTAACATTAATAATTACTTTCTTGGTTTCAGACAAAACAGAAGAAGGATGAAGGTAAAAAGGATCAAATAAGGCTATGCCTCACATAAAAGCTCCTTTCCCAGAAGCATTCGCAATGGCTTTAGACGAGCAACAACAGACATTATTGAACAACAGTAAGTGGGTAATCCATAATCGAAGACAAAATGCAAAATGCACATTTAATAGATAATAGTAATTCAACTACATTACAATCGATTTTGGTCTATGAGGTAATGCATAATAAATTATTTTCCAGGCGACGCGCGTTTAGAATATTACCGTAACGATCCGGTGACAAAGAGAATTTTATTTATTCTAACAGAAAATCTGCATGACGAGCTAATGCCGCAATTTAATGTTAAATGTTTAATTAAATAAGTAATAACATAACGCAAGTTCTTTAGAAAGCAAACAACATTAATATGTCGGTAAATTTTAACCTCAAAATTATATATCAAGAGACTATTTGGCAAGAATTATTAAAAATAAATTACGACTTTTCAATTAACTAAAGATAGGGATGAGCAAAATTTGTTTTTTTTTTGGGACCAAGGCCAATCATAATCTCAAGAATTCAAGCAAGGTTGAACCTCGAAAAAGTAGTCCAATATTACGACGATGTTATATAGAGGCAAGATTAAAACAAAAATTAAACTTTAGGCTGGAAGAGTAAAGCTAAATCTATTATGAAAATATCAAGGGCATATATCTAAGAATGTCAGACCATCAAGAAGAACTACAGACGTGCAAGATGAAATTTATCATTAAACATACAGCAAATATTTGTATAAGTCTTGAAGTCCTATTAAAGCAAAACCAAGGCTGTATCATTATTTCCAGGAATATAAGACTACATACATCCCCATGTTAAGCTGTAATATTATAACTAATGGTAAGTCCATAACTGTAAAGTTGGGATTAACAGATCATCATTAGGTCTGTACATAGAAGACCAAGTGCAGGATAAAATCTGTAAACACAGCGATGATTGCAATGCAATTCCAAAGTCAAGGAGCATGCAGGGTGCAACGCCTTTGAGATCAACTTTAAAACTACCGGGTAGGCAGGAATATTCCTACCTGGGACATTCCTACCTCCCGTACTACCAGTCTTCATTACTGGTCAGATGTTCGATGGACGAATCTCCTTAGGTTCATGAGATCGCCACATTCTCCTGATTATTGACATTTATGTCGACTGAGGTACCCCGACCGCTTTTGATGATTGTAACGGGTGGGACCACTTTCGAGAACCTTTTCCTGTACATCTATTAATAAGGGTCTGTCCATTTTCCACACTTTTACGGAGTGGTGTGCCCGTAGAGGGATACCAGTATCGATATTGAGCACCAGGTCCTACTCCTCAAACTCCTGGTGATTTGACTATTTCCACTAGATCGTAAGCTTGTGAGTTACAATCCAGAGTTACGCCAATGGTCACAAGATAAAATATAATGCAGAACCAACATCAACACTAAACCAGTAGATGCATTTTCAGAACTATATTATCAGTCAGTTGGTGCTTGATTAATCTTTATTCGTCATGATTGGGTTTTAAGGTTAAATTAAACTTTTGCTCATCAGTAATGAGGATTAATTCCAGCGCAGTTTATCAATTAAAATTGTAATAAATCTAATGGAAAAACAGTTTCGTAATTATAAACGAAACGATGTCGTAAATTTTCCTTTTGAGTATTTCTTCATTATATTAATTCAGCGTAAAGTGTGAAAGATTGTCCATAATATTACCGCCTTTCTTTTTTACGTTCCATCCGCAAATATCTTTCGGCATTAAATCAAAAAGTGAACATCAAACGTCTGCTAGTTCTGGTAATTTGAATTTATCGTTGAAACGATTTCACCCCGAAGAGTACTACTCAAACAGAGTAACACAGCATACCTCGTGATGATTTGATAAAGCAATTTTAGACAGAAATTAAAAATTAAAATTAAATTTTCTTTTCTTTTAACGCGGTTGCAAATACATAGATTTTATATGAAGTTTGTTCCACTTTATTTAATCTAACTAAAATTGCCAAAATTGAACTGTGACCCAGATTGTGAGAAGCAAAAATAGTCTTGTCTTGTCTTTAGTTCTAGTCCAAGACTGAAGGAACAAGACCAACGCCGTTTAGTCATGCGTTTGTTCATCACTAGACAATATGGAATAGTTCAAACACATAAAGTTTTTCTTTATTTCAGGAACAAGATCTCAACTTTCAGTAACAATTGTGGAAGCTGGACCAACACCTCAAATTAGTCCCATATCTGATAAAAGCACACAACACTTACTATCTGGTCCACTTGAAACAGGTAAGAAAACAGTTTCTGTTGTACCTTAATTCTATTTGTTTTAAGGCTGAGGTGTTTTTCGACTTTATCTTATACGAAAGATGATCCACAAGTAATGTTAATCTGTTATCTATAGTCCGTATATTTTTTTTACTTGCTTATATACATATTCACAAGTCCAGCAAAATAAGTCATATAAATAGACCATGATTCCCTAGAAGTACATTCATTTGAATACGAACATCAAAATGTAGAAAAACGAAATGAGAGCTGTTACCAACAACCTGTGTTTGAAAAAAAATTCTACCTAAGACAGACATACACAGTGACTTGGTGGAGACATGAAGATACTCGGCTTCTCTATATTCCACAGTTGGACGCTGGTACAAGGAGTTTTAGCTGGGTACACTTAGAACACCCACTGAAGATGAACATCGCAAAGGGCACCCGTCCACATCTTTCCTTTTGGTTATATTTGAAAAAGGCGAAAATGTTGTATTGGTCGATCGATGGCACCGTCCAATAAATCCTTGCAAACGAATTGTGTATCAAAAAGGTCTCTGCGCGTTGGGTACCGAGGATGTTAACCGAGTAGAAACGGGTCGACACTTCGAGGATGAATCTCAAAAAGTTCTAAGTAGATCGAGAAAATTTTTGGTTATGTTTCCTGATGATGGAAGAGGCCTGCACCCTTGGAAGAGACCTGGATCTACCAATTTGATTCTGAAATCAAACAACAACGAGCCACCCCACCGACGTCGGAAAAATTCAATAAGTTCGACTGGAAAGGTACATTTTTTGAGACGCTGAAGGAATAATTTTGGTGGAATATTTGGAAAAGGGAGCCACTATTTCGGGCTCTTACTAAGCAGACGCTTCGAACTTCTCAAGCACTCCCGTGTTCTTCACAAGATCTGGCTACTAGTAACTTCTACCTCTTATCTCAGCTTAAAGAACACCTCCGAAGTAAGAAATTTGGAGACGATATCGAAGTGGTGGTTGCTGTTGAGGTGTTTTGGGAAGGCCAAGACAAAGCTTTTAAATCTAAGGGAATGCTGGGCTTAAATTTAAACTAAATGTATTGACTTGTTAGGATACTATGTAGAAAAATAAATAATTTTTTAACTATAATCACCGTGTTTTATTTTCATTATCGTTACTTTTGGATCACACTTCGCAATTATTGAGCTCGGTTGTTTGGTAAAAGTTGTTTCTAATTTGTAAAAATTCATCCATTAGCCACTACATTACTGTTGAAGTGTTTAGGTTTCATTTGTGTGGATTTGATTTTGTACCAATGATTCGTATACTTTGCAGTTTACTTCTTCAGGGTAGACCTGAATTATTTTCATCGATTTTTTCACTTATATGTGCTAATTTTAAGGGAATAGGGACAGTTATACCTACATCCATATGAATGACGTTTGGTAATATATGTAACTATTATTTTAATCACTTGTTCAAATTGCGAATGATAGGAAACGTTTTGGCATTCTATCAAATAAACACGTGTTATGTTTCTGAAATCCAATTATATTAATATTATTTTACGTAAATGGAAATATTCTTTTTATTAATAATTGAAACAAACACATTCAATCAATATTCGCGTTGATGTGGTTACGTATTTGACAGACAGGCTGGCGGTAGATTAACTTTTCAGTTTAATGTTTGACGGAAAGTTACAAACAATTGCCCTAGATTGGTAAATGATCGTGAAAAAAAGCCCTGGGGAATTAATGAGTGATGGAAATAAATTGACATTAAAAATTAAAATTTTAATTACTTGTCTACGGTTTGAGGGACGAGATACTTACAGCGTAACAGATTTTTAAGTTGTAAAGGTGGCGTGTAAATGACATGAATCTATAGGGTTGTTCGGAAAGCCATTTCGTTTTTTTTGTGGAAATGAAAGACAGTTTTCGGATAATAAACAAATACTTTATTAAATTATATATTGACCGTTCTGGTCCAACACCTTTTGCCATCTTTCTGGTAGTAGCATAATTCCACGCTCATAAAATTTTTGGTCTTTGCTGGCAAAAAACTGATCGAGGAGGTTTTTGACCTCCTCATTTGAGGTGAAGGTTTTACCGTCCAAAAAATTTTGGAGTGACTGGAACAAATAATAATCCAATGGTGCCAGGTCTGGAGAATATTGTGGGTGTAGCATTGTATCCCATTCAAGCTGTAAAAGCTTTTGGCGAGTGACCAGACTTGTGTGAGGTGTCGCGTTGTCTTGGTGAAACACTACACCTTTCCTGTTGATTAGTTCTGACCTTTTCTGTTGAAGTGCATCATTCAGTTTGTCCAGCTGATGACAGTAGACTTCCGAATTAATCGTTGTGTTATCCGGTAAAAGCTAAAAAAAAACGATTCCTTTAAAATCCCACCAAACAGACAGCATCACCTTTTTTTGGTGAATATCGGCTTTGGAAATGGTTTGAGCCGGTTCATCTTTTTTGCTCCATGACCTCTTGCGTTTGACGTTGTTGTACACAACCCATTTTTCGTCCCCAGTGATGATGCGCTTCAAAAACGATTCATTTTCAAAAAACTTTTGGGTGTTTTATTCCCACCAGCCAGTAATGCTGGTGGGTGGGTAGTCCCTCCGGACTACGCCGGAAGGTAGGGCGGAAGGCCCTCTTCAGCCTTCTTTCAGGAATCGTAGGAATCAGTGGGTGGTGATTCGGGTGAGAACGATGAGACAAACGAAATTAATACAGAAGAGAATGAAAGATTATCTGTGGAATATTACTGCCCCAGCATTAGCCTAAGTGATCCAAGGAAATCAAAGAAAAACTCGAACCCGGGAATCGAATCGGTGACCTCCCGAATACTAAGTAATGGTCTAAACTTCTAGGCCATGCCGCTCGGTGATCTGCTCTCTATGGCCTCCTCATCATAAGGTGCTCCTCTGTTAGTGGGGCTCCTGATACTGAAGGGGTATATGAGGGCAGATCACCCGTAGAAGGAGCAGAGCATAAGGGGCAAGTGACTGACAATTAGAACTATAAAGATGGCTAATAGTAACTAATAATAATAGGCCTGAAGGGGGTAAAATTGAAACCTTCATAGAAAAATACATGGAATTTTGAAGCCAAACTGTCAAAGTTGAGAATAGAACCACTTTGTAGGAGCCGCTACCTGAGGTTAGTTTCGGTCACTCCATAGCCTTCAATGAGTATGACAGAGTAAGCAGTAATGACCCATATTGCTTTCTCTTTTTCTTCTCCCTTCCACTCCCATATCAAGCCCCTTACGAAAATTTTCTAATGATCGTCCTGCAGTTTAGGGGTAGCATTCTGGACTTCGTTCGCAATACTGTTGGGTTCGGTTATAGAAGACGGGACCGACCTACGAAATTGAACAGATAAGAAAAGGAAAGAATTATCTTACTCGCACTCGCAGGAGCAATGAGGAGCTCCTTGGCTATACCTAAGGAGCACTCGGGAGTCAAAAGGGCCGAGTTTGCCCGGCAGTGTTTTAAGTTCTTTTTGTTTTCTCATTACGGATTTAACCGTCTATTCATTTTAATTAAGAAACAAAAGAATTGCAGTCTTCGTCTAGTTTCTAAATCATTCCTATTTCTTCAATTAATTGGAGTGTAGATTCAAAGCCAGTACTTTTTCTTTCCCAACAAATAAATGGTATTTATTAAACTTTCAGTTTTAAAGTAATGTACTGTACTACCTATGTGATAATCATAATGAACCAGTTATTATTCTGTTCAGTTCCAGAGACCAGCGTTTGCTGTCAGGGGTTGAGGACGGCTTCTCTCTTGTTGGAAAGCCCTCCAAAATGGGGCGAAGCGGCCCGATATGCTTCCAAACAGCACAAAAAAATCGCTGGCAGAGCTACATTCCAAGGACAAGTGTACAACTTCCTAGAACGTCCTGATAATTGGAAATGTTTTGTCTACCACATGACTGTGTAAGTACCAAATTTAGAACTTCGTTATGTAGTATAACATTAATTAAATGATTCTTAAAAATTCCTCTAGTTTATTCATAAAAGATGCAGTGTTGCTGAACATAAAACGTTTGGAAATAGTACAGGTAACAATCGATCCTTATTTTTCCATCCCAGAGGTGGATTGTTTTTAAAATTTAAATGAGACTAACTTCGAGATATAGATACCACATAAAATAAAGAAAGAGTCATAAAATCGGACTACTGACGATCAGTAAAAAGTTATGTGTAGTCGTAGGTACATAAAAATAAAAATATAATACGCGTCCATTTGAGAAGCTCCTTCTTTTTTCTTCGGTAAAAAAACATACTCATCTTCAACAAAATTCCCTTGCCGAAAGCTCACTACATGCCAATGAGCCAATACTAATCATTATATACAATCCACAATTGCACGGTTGCTGCAGGGAATATACGAAAAAAGCTTCCTCATTTGCGCCATGTTTTTTAGACTCCTCCCATTTGATGAATCTTAATATTTTGGAGCAAATGTTTATGTACTTATATGCAAACGAATGACGACACACTTATGCTCTTTTTTTTATGATTTATACATAGTAATCATAAGTTGGAATTCGTTGATGGGCAGAGGGCATCAATTCAACACTTTGTTTGCCGACTTCATTCAATTTTCTTTTTTATTTTATTAAACTGTGAAGATAAACGCTGGACAAACAAGGTTTCACATATTTTCCTAAAGGGTTCATCTTGCCCGTCTCGTTTGTCTCTGCCTAACCACCACCACCCATCCAACACCAAAATTCCTAAAAGAGACCTAAGAAGGTCTTACACCTTCCCTTTGTTGCAAATATGTATAATTTTATGTTAAAGTAAATCAAAAGTTAGCTGAAATCTTTTGTGACCTACTGTAAATTCTTCGCCCATTTAGCCTACCTCCTTTATGATTTTCGCAACCTTGATAGTACACCATTCATAAATATTAATCGTGGGAAAAGGAAGACCTACTGTTTTATTACCCCCATTTGGAGGTCGGCAGGAAAATAAAATGCTTGTAATATTTCCACATAAAATATTGAGTGTATTGATTTACTCTGGCTTTATAACTGTTCTCGAACAATGTGAAGTACCTACGTGGGAAAAAACACGCAAACATAACCCGCCGAATAAAATAATTCCAGCGGGAAGACTGAACTTATTAATGAAAAACTTTACGAAAACAAAATCGCCTTGATTTGTAAATGAAAATTACGATATCGATGTTGACAGTTTTAGATATTCTTTTACTAACGTTGTACCCTTAATCATAAGGGACATCTTTAGAATTGATATAAGTAGTTGGGCGATTGATAAAAAGGCGTTTATTTAATGCTACTTTAACTCGATTAAATTTGTAAAACCTTAATATCATATAATTCTGGGGAATCTTTGTATGAATCCGTTTAATTTTGAATGCACGTGAACAGAATTTTGTATAAACAGGCTAGTAAATTTCATAGCAAGTAATAAGTTTTTGTATATTCTTTACGCAAAAAATGGATTCCATGTCAACATAGGGCGCTTGAAAATAAAACAGGGAATTATTGGGAATGTTGATGTCTATTCTGGGCGGACATTTTGACAATATTAATCATTCGTTTGTTCGTGGAAATTATGCAACTGGTGGGATAAGTATAGGATATATGTTTATCTACAACGGATAATTTCATTTCCATTTTTTGTTCGTAAATAATTGTTTTGTTGGTGCTTTGTTTGTCTATATTACGAACATTTTGTCTTCTGTGCCAATCAAGCCAGCAGTCACATGCATAGAGAACTCAAAATCCATAAAATACAAACAAAACATGAATTCAGTCAAACATGTAACTTTAAATAATTAATTATAAAACGACAATATGAGTCAATCATTATGAGAACCGTCTCACATAGCTATTGAAATACTGTAAAGCAATGTATCTTTATGTGATAACTGCCCAGAAATTTGCATGAGAAGGCTCAAAGGGATATTGATAGAACTCGGTTCTCGAAATTTGTGCGAATTATGAAAAACAACATCTACTTACATCATACGCTCACAGCTGCACATTCCATTAACAATACTTATTTCATTAATATGACTACTTAAAAATTTCATCACAAATAAAGGAGATAATGTG